TCTCATTTTTCCTAGAAAACGAAGGTTACACGACCTCCCACACGCCCGTGTACCTTCCCGTGTATGTTTTTGCCTAAAAAGAGAGCAATTCTTCAAAAACGAAGGTTACACGACCTCCCACACGACCATGTACCTTCCCGTGTATGTTTCCGTCCACAACAAGGGTTTTTCGACCATAACACTTCAAAACCTAATAAAAAAATTCTTCCCACTTATAACCCTTGAATATTCAATAAAAATCACTTTTTCTTTGTTCATAAACACGTCACAAAAACACATCCAGGAGTTCATATTTACATATACAAATTCAAAAATCTCCTAGGATGCATATGCTCGGCATAATGAGAGAGAGAAGAGGGAGATCGCTAGCCGACTCGTTACTCATGACGTGAATTGAACAACAAAAGATGACTTAACTTCCACTTCTTGCTTCTTAGCACCTAAAAAGATAATTGCATTTTTAATGGGATGCTACTCAATGAGGGATATAATCTTGATGCTCTAACACACACATATACATTTTCACATCATTAACCAAAAACACATTCATGACACAAACATAAGCATTTATATAATTCATACATGTTCATATATCAACATGCTTGTATTTATTCTTTTCTTGTCGGTTATGACCAAAACACGTCAAGTATCATCCCGGCAACTTATAACATATAACTTGTAAGCTTATAAGCTTATCACTTGTAAACTTGCATGGCTGGCCAGTTTATATACTTGTATTTGACCCATTGGGTCCTTGTAACTTGTAATTGCGATTACTTGGACATGGCGGTCATAACCTTACCCTTTTTATCTTTCATACGTCATGAATGCTCCATATAACTCATACTTATACATAATAACATTCATGGCTCATGGCATGAATCATCAACACATGCTTACACATAGCACTTTCATAGCATCAAAACATAATTCATACACAAACATTGGTTCACCATATTATTCAGAAAAGTCAATAACATCACATGGCAACACAAACACAGAGTATCAATCAATTATATCCACTCACAAAAATGACGTCTTCGTCGTTTGTCAATGCATTACGTCTTGCACCTCACGCTCCTCGGCGTCTATAAACACATACACATATACTTTTATAAGTCATTTTATCATGATCAAACTTCTAAATATGCATAAGGTGCAAAATATGACTTTAAGGTTAACTTATTTCTTTATGGGTACTTGACCCCTTTTCACTCTTTCTACCATAAGTCCCAAAATAAAAATTCAAATGATGCAATTCCAGTTTCATATGAAACTATACTCATAGGGCTCTAACATATCCAAAAATCAAGTCTATTTACAAACTACACAACTCATGGTGATTTTCTAAAAATCAGATTTGCTGCAGGATTCACTAAAAATCCAAATAGCTTACTTGAAAAGGAGAAAACAGAGGATCTACTGGTTATTTTAAGCTGAAATTTAACAGGGTACTATTTCAAGGTATTATCTCCAACTTTCATGTTTTAACCTTCTTCAAAATATGACTAAAAAATCTCGAATTAAGCAGTATAAAAATATTGTTACAAGAGGTACATACTTAGTTTTCAGCTTGCCTTGAAAAAACTATGGTTTTTCCCTTCTTTTTCCCTTTTCTTTTCTCTCCTTTTTCTTTTTTCTCTCTCTCTCGTTCACTCCCGTTTCCAGCTAGGGATTGCAAAATTGAAGGTGAAGAGATGACTTGATATATATATATATATATATCTTGGCAAAGTTCGTTTTGGTCCTCTAAGGTGTGGCTTATTTTTATTCTAGTCCTCCAACTTAAATTAATTCGATTGAGCCCCTATTTCATCCCATTATTCAAAATACTTATTATTCAATACCCCACTAATATGTCATATGCATGTATAATTATATGTTTGTAATTCATAAGTATGCGTGTATACATGAACAATGTATATTTTGGGACGGCGTTATTACGGTATTTTTATAGTTTTTAAATTTTTTAAAACCTTTATTATGAAAGTTTTTGTGACATTACACTTTGGTTCTTCTTTTTAGAATATTATTTTTTAGTCTGTAAATATTTTTATTTGATTTTGGTCCAACTTTTTTGTTTCATTTTGGTCCTTACTTTTTTTCTTTGATTTTTTTAATTAAAAATTTTAAGGTAAAAAGATATTTAGAAAAAAATAATTTACAAAATAATTTTTTAGCTAAAAACGTAGATAAAGATAAATAAAAAAATTTTTTTAATAAAAAATTTATGAAAATATAAAGAATAATTAGTCAAATACAAAATTTTGATTAAAAAATGATAAAGTTGAATGAATTTTTATTCAGTTTTAATTTGATATACTTTGGTATGACGCACAATATAACACGGGACATCAAAATGAAATAATTTTTTTAAAAATAATTTTATGTATTTTGTCCGACTCGTTATAGCATGGGTAAAAAAACTAAAACATAATATAATTTTACCATTCACCATGACTCCTTTTAATATTCATTTTACTGTTCAAATGGGATTATTGTAATTTTATCATGTGCACTATTTATTTGTTATTGTTGTAATTTTAACCCTTTGTTCATGCATTTGTAATAATATTGTTGTGATTTTGAACTTTTCTTTATGCATTTGTGATGATTTGTGATTTTTATACTTTTTCAAGGGCTTGATCTAAAATTTAGGCAAATATTGCACTTTGGTTCCTAATTTTTTTTAAAAAATTATTTCGATTCTCAATTTTATTTATATTACGAGTTTGATCCTTAGATCTATAGAGAAACGAAGAGAGAGAAGGCGACGGTGGAGCCCATTCTCGCTATTTTGATTGTCGATCTTGATTTTAATTTGTTCATCATAGATATGAGAGTTTATTTAACATGGTTTCAAGCCATGAAATAGTTAAGAAAAAGACATCAATATTCCAAAATATTCACTTGATTTTTGAATTTGATTTGGATTTTGAATAAGAATATTTTTTAGTTTTTCAGTAATAATTAAAAGTGACAAGTGGAAAAGACAAAAGGATTGACTTGTGTACGTGGAAAAGACCAAACCTCTATGACTTACAAACAAAAATATCTATTAAAAATGAAAAAAAATATAATTCACGTGTTTATATATATATAAGCAAAATTTATCAAAATCAATTTTGTAAGTTTTTTTTTTAATTGAAAATTGACTATGCATATACATAGAAAACAATTAACATTTACTTTTTTTAAATGGAGTGTTATATATATATATGTCAAACATTAATCTTCTCTTCAATATTAAAAAAAAAATTGTGATTTTTTAAAATTAATTGTTGCTTTATTTTTTTATCCAAACTTATGAAATAAATAATTAAAGTTACACATATTTTATTTAAGATTTCTAATTAATTGAAACTTATTTTTTAAATTATTACAAATTTTTATTTAAGGATCTATGCATAAAAAAAAAAGAAAAAAAGTTATGTTTTCTTAAGAAGAAAATCTATTAAGAAAATATAAGAAAAAATTAATTAAGTATAAAATTTTGATTAAAAAATTATAAAGTTAGTTTTTTAATATTTATTTTTTGTGTATTTTAGTGGACTTATAGCTTAACGAGGATCATCAAAGCATAATGATTTTATGCATATGATTTTGACTATTCTGTTCTATCCGCAACACCAATTAGTTACAAACTATTTCGTACAAATCGATATACGACCTTTCTAATTTCTTTTTGCAAACCCCATGATTTAAATGAGATGCTTGTCATATGAAAAGCTAACATATTTTACAATACTTTCCCTCTCGAGTGTCAAGTAGCAATATCTGGACTGGAAATATATAATACAAAAGCGAGTGGAATTTTGCAAACAATATTATCGACAAGGCTAAATCATTTAAATTTCTTATAAACTTTAAGTTATTTGAGAGTCAAATTTTCAACTCCTAATTTTAGATTGGACATTTTTCTAATTATTTTTCTTTCAAAATTTTGTTTTTTTTCCTTATGTTTTCATCAATTCTAATGGTAAAAATATATAAATATACTTTTTAACTTCTCTCAATGCTAAAAAAAATGCCAAAACTCATGGAAACTTTGATTTACTCTTAAAAACTTGTTTCTTTCATTTGAAATTGAGTCTTCATATCATGTTTTCATTAATTCTAACTTACAAGTGCAATTGCTTAGTAGCTAAAAACATATAAAAATTTATAGATATTTTGCTTTTTTCTTAAAAATTTGTTTCTTTCCTCCTAAATACTAAAAAGTAAACAATTAAAAAATATTTTAGGAAAAAAAAAACAAGTTTTCTAAGAAAAATAAAAATTATATAAGTTTTAATATATTTTTAATTACTGGAAAAATTAAAAAATCAACCATGTATAACTCACATATACTTTCACCGTTAAAATTAATAAAAACTTAATAAAAATATCCAGATGAAAAATAGTTAAAGAAAAAATCTAATTTAAAATTAAAAGTTAAAAAGACTTAATTCTCAAATGATTTGAAATTCAAAAGAAGACTGGACTATTTAGCCATAGACAAATAGACAAGGAGTAGCCAAGAACTGGCCACCAACGCAACACTCAAGGGCCAAAATAATGTTCACAGCGGTGGAAACATGATTGGAAAGAAGCAAAGCAAGAAACGGACAAAAATTTCAATAAAATGATGTAAATCATGATGCTGTGACTAGCTCAATTCGATTTGGCAGTCTCCAAAGAAATGAAATGCATCTCCATCTGCATCCTACTTAACAATGGAATCCATAACTAGGCATATATAGAGAATATTGTTGTTCATTATATACACAAAACATGATGTACTGACACGAATTGAATTTTTCGTTTAATTTCTCACCTCGTTGGATTTGGAGTAAAAAGAACAGAAAGACAAATCAAACTTGAAATTTTATTCAACATAACATGAACCATGTCCGTGATTAAACAAAGCAAGCAATTTGCCAAGCCATGCAACTACGAGCAATGAGAACCAAAAATCTGAAACCATTTCTCAGGCGTCATTGATCGGATCTGTATGTGGCTCATTCCTCATAAGGAACAGGGATCCTCCGGGTAGCAGGGCCAGCAACCATGTCATCCCAAAGCAGATCAGAGAGTGCCATTGTCAGCTCTCCCACCTTCCCTGTTCCCATCAAGAAAAAAAAAAGAAAGGTTCTGTAAGAATGTAGTAATAGTTAAGCACCTAACCCATGATTACTTGAGTGATGAAAACATATATAGGCAGGGCAGCCCTAAACAATGTTGCACTTAATGCACTAATGATATGAAAAGCTTATTGTCTTTTTAGGCAATTGAAGAAAAAGAAGTTTTTTCGATAAGTATTTAGGATTTGTATAAATATATGTTGCAAGTAAAGAACATCCAAATAAAAGGTCTCCATTAACCCGAAACAAAACAAAAAGTTATTGAGGATAATTGTGTTACCATCTCCTATGGGTTGGTCATCCCACATAACAATTGGCAATATAGGAAGTGTGCTTCCGATGTACATCATTTCAGCAGCACCTTTGGCTTCCTCCACAGTAAGATTTCCAGTTTTAACACTTTTTAATTGCCCTTGCTCAACCAATTTAGGAGCTAGCTGAAGAAGCCTCAATGCAGTGCAACCGCTGAGGATCTTGTCAAAAAAAGGCAAGATAAGCTCCTTATCTTGGCTTATGAAAGCCACATTCACATTTGGACCCTCTGCAATATAGCCTTCCTCATCAATCCAGATGGAGGCAAATACTCCCTTATCTTCAGCTTCCATTACTGAGAGCACATTTGGTAGGTAGTTCACGTTCTTTGATGTTGCAAACAAAGATGACTTCATAGGGATAGTGGATGTTATCACTTTAACCCCTTCTTTTTGCTGAGAGAAGTCCTCATCAATGACCACAGCATAGAATGCAGAAGTTGGACAACCTGAAGATGAGAGTAGGAAGTTTCCAGGACCTGCACTTAGCCAGTATCTTATAGTTCCCTTCTTGCATTTAGATGCTGCAGTCATTTGAATAAGAATGCTTCGAAGAGTTGACCGAGGGAAGGGAGAGGCTACCCTTGCTTTTGATGCTGATCTTAAGAAGCGGTCTAAATGAACATCCAGCTCATATAGGTGTCTGCATTAAACAAATAGCTTAATGATCCTAACCCAAATGTACGCTAAAAAGGAGCAAACTAGGCAACATCAGTTAGAATCCTGGAATTGCAAGTTGTTGCAGAATGCAGTATATGACATGTATATAGATGTTAAAGAATACCAAGGCATTATGCATACCCATTAAGAATGACAGCCGTATCAAACACACCATGGCCTCGATGAACCATGTGATCATCCATGGGAATTACCATCATTGCTGGATCAAGAATAATTCCTCCATATACACTGGAATACATTGCTGGGTATGGTTGCTTTTTCACTGAACTCCACTTCTCATGTAAGCTCTCAAGCAACTGATCGATAAAGCAATTAAAATGGAAAGGAAAGAGAAGAATGAATAATACGGATATGTCAGTTGAAAAATAAGGATCACTGAGAAATTGCTATTCAGTCTTTCAAAGGCTGTCTATATGTATTCGTATTAGCTGTGCAGTGGGAATCTTTCTTCTACCAGCACAAGGAAAAAAATCTCCGCTAATAGAAACACAACTAGTCACTAATCCCATGAAAAATCTAGTTTATTGGGATAAAGTTGACCTTTCTCATATGTTGACATCCTGATACCCGTATGGCCAAGCTTTCGATTGTCAGTTGATGAACTCAACTACAATATTTGTCACTTTAAAGTCCATCCTCCCCAAAGAAGAATGGGAAAACCACAAAATCTTCAGTACTTTTGTTGCAGCATGGGATTTATTCATCTTCTATTTGCAGTTCAGAATTTGCATCAAGGACTCTTGTTACTCTTTATCACAGGAATACCAAAAATTTAGCCAGAGAAGATTTGCTAATATTAGATATCAGTATCTCATACAAAGGCATAACATAGCCCTACTTTAGGACCCTTTTTCTCATCATTATAAGCCAAAGATAACCCGCAACATTGTTTAAAATCTTAGCTCAGTCAAGTATTTTTCTGCCACCAGACGTTCGATTAGCAAGCAAGCTAACTTGGTTTTCAGCAAGTTTTATAGCATGCAAATTTTTTTATGATAATTATTAGAAACCAGAAAGCAGTATTACTTGATAAGAAGACTTGAACGTGGAATTTTTCCCATGGACTGATCTTTCACCATGAACAGGACAAACAGAGAACGAATCTACTTTTTTATTCTGGGATTTGGACAGGTAAGGGCTGAGGACCAGGAACATGAAAGCTACACTCAGCAGCTAAAGGAATTTTTGGATTGCATTTGGAACTCTATATAGTCCATAGGTAATGACAAGCTACATTCACTTTTTCCCCCCAAACACGAGCATCCGCCGATAAAACAAGATCCTTCAGTACTTGTTTGGATGATGCTGTTAGTGTAGAGCAATACTGTCTTAAGCACTAGACCAATTTGAGAGATCAGGCAAAAATCACCAAATACTAAAAATGCATAGCCCATCTATCGGTTGGAATTGTGTAATTTTTTTCCCCCTGGGATCAAAGCATCATCAAAGCACTAATACTCCCTAATCATCTAATCATCCTAATCTAATGAACCAAAGAAGTGCTTTTGCATTCAGATGACATGCATTTATGCTACTTCATCACTTATTCAGAAAGAAATTAAAAAGAACAAGTATATGTGATACTCCATGATATAAATCATCAGAAGGAAACAAATCCATAACTAATTGTTAAAATCAAGAAAAACAACCAAGGCCAGAAACAAGCATACCCAAAATACAAAATAAAGATCAAGCACATAAAATAAAAAATGGGGTGTAGAGTTTCCAACCTCTGAGGATGATGAAAACACATGAACCTTGAAGTCACTCCCATTTTCAACCTCCAATGAAGCCATCTCACCTTCATAAAAAAAAAAAAAAAAAAAAAAAAAAAAAAAAAAAAAAAACACAAAACCACCGAATAAGCTCGAGAATTGATCACAAAACTCCAATCAGAGAAAACACAGAAGGCCAGAATTATGGAAGGAAAAGAAGTTACCTGATTGATGTGCCGTGAAGAAGCAAAAGAAGGAAGTGGAAAAGAAGTGTTAACAAAAGATGTTTGAAGAGACGATGTGAACCATGTTTATAGTGAACACTGAAGTTGTAGTTACTATAAAATAATGGTCTCGTAAGAGAGGCGAATCCGTTTTTGTGTCAACTTTTTGTGGTTTGTCTTGCAGTGTGGGGAGAGTGTCCAAGATGCAAGACACAGTTGGACTGCACTTTCGTTGTCTGATTTTTGGTGATTTGGAATCCTTTTCTGGATGGAAGATGTTTGTAGCTACTAGTTAAGCTTCTCTATGTCAGCATCTGACCCACTAATTAGCGAGAGATGAATGATGTGGCGTCAAATAATGCAATTCTCCTCATATCTCGTGAAAAAAAAAAAAATAGTATTTTAATGGTTTCATCCTAGCCATGGCCTTTGCTTTTGGTTCCATTTCTAGTGTTTCTGTAGAATCAAAGTTTGTTTACACTTTCTTCGTAAAGAAGAAGAAGTTTGTTTTGACTCCTGTCTGAAGTGTTCAAATTAGCTCTTTGATCCGCTGGTCGATATTAGTTTAATTATTGGAGCGGTTATTAAATTCTACTTTCATTATCAATACACTTCTAGTCTAATTACAGTGATTTTTTTTTATTTTTTTTTACTAGCAAAAGATCACGGTTCAAATTTAATCATGTGACGTGTAATAATCTCACCTCACCTCACCTCAATTTGACGTCAATTCAAGAAATTTATACCAAGTGTTAATAATTCAAAATTGACATCCACCTACAAAGAGAAAAGCAGAGAGAATAGATTACAACATTCACATTTTTGAAAAGCACCACTCAGTATACTATATTGCCTCCTACTTCTATGATAATATTAGCAAATCCTCTTTGTTTAAAAATTATTCCTTTTTCTATTTCCATGTGGAGACAAAAACAAAATATAAGACAAATTGGAATGGCATTTGGTACCTAATCCTCTCATTTATACTGCGTACTGTTTGCGGCCATTTGTGTTAAGACAAAAACTTTTGCTCAATAATATGCATACCAATTTTTTTAGGCACCTTAAGAACAAATGGTTAGTCGTGTACCATTTTGTTCAATGCCTCTTTTTTTTTTTTTTTTTTTGGTGGTGGAAGACTAACATTTTGTTCTTTTATGGAAAGGATAAAATTTTAATGGTTGACCAGAATAATGGGCTTTGAAATGAAGCCTTGAGTATCTAAAGAATGATCAGATTAAATTTGTTTTTTTTTTTTCAAAATCGATTTCATAAAAGTAGATTAGTGTTCTGCCATGAAGTTCAAATGATCCATGATTAATGATGACAACTTCAAATGATCGTTTGTAATTGTTACTACATTTTATAGTATAATAGAGGATTAATTCTCAGGAGGGCTAACATTCATAGTTCCAAAGTGGAAGTAGGGCAAAGGGTTGATCTAAATAGCTTTTGTTACTAGGATCCATAATGTCCATAAAACCTGTATAATGCCACTGATGGCTGATAGTTTATCAAATGGGGGACCTGGGAGTTATGGTCGTTTATCTTTACAGCAGCTTCACTATGAAAAATGAATCTGCCACTTGCCGGTAAATGTTCTATAATTTGGTTGGCTTTGATTGTTAGTATATTTCTCATTGCTTGCTATGCCTTAGACAGAAGGATTTCACTCTCTCTAAAGCTTCTTCTAGGGATACTGGATCGACAGCGAAAGTGATACGGAGCCAATTCTTTAGCCCTACGGCAGTTCCTGCAAAAGAAATATATTTCTCAGTTAGTAGTTGCTACCTGTCAGCCTCTAAAAACTGGGAAAACTAAATGGCACTTTCAATGAATTTCCTATAATTTTGTCTATGAATTTGTCAGTTGCAACTTGGTCAACGCAATGATGCATGTCATAAATACAAAAATCAGCTTGGAAGCAAGTAATTACCAGCTTCTGGCAGAAGTGCTTTTTTTTTTTTTTTTAAGCCATAAGATCGTCAAGAATCTACTTGTTTAAGCTATAAAAATATACTTGTTTAAGTCACCATTAAAATATGTTTTATTCACAGCGACTAAGCTATGTTGTATCAATGGTAGCAAAAGCTATTGGTAAAACACTTAAGCCATGAATCACTCAAATCTCTTATAATGGTATTAGGATCAATCACTTTGTGGCTGATAACATCATTTTCAGGAAATCAGAAGTTTCAGGACAGACAATTTGATTTTCTATTTAGATACGTATGAGCTATAAAAAAGCTAATTCGTATGTTTAATTGTCCATTTCTTACCTGGAAGAATGATGACAGATTCCTCTCTCACCAGTTTGAAGCAGAAGTCAATATCGTCACTGATATCTTCCAGTAGTGAAAGATTCAATTTCATCTGCATTGCATAACCAGTTCAATTAGTTTAACTCCATTTGTATTTCCACTCACTTCAATACATGGAGAATTGCAAATTCTGCTCTTTTGGCTCACCATTACAGCCATCGATCCCTCTGGCTTGTGCGGACAAGAGATGCAAGGGATCTCCTTTATCCTATCACAACAAATATCTGAGGTCTGCTTCAGTATGTTGATAGTTCTCTTGAAAAAGACCTCATCAGTTTGCTCAAGAATGCCAGGAACTGCTGCCTAACAGACCAAATACATTATTGACAAGAGAACAGAATAAGCAGGTGATTCTTGCAATTTAAAGATTTGGTCGCAGCTTGACGTTATTAACTCTGGCAGAAGTCTATACATATTAAACTCTTTTATGAGCTTTGGATGCTTATTTGTTTAGGTGAACCATTAGACAAGTAATATCTTGATCAATAGCATGCTGTAAGGTCTAACACTCTAAATCAAGCTTGCAACTGTAATGTTCCTCCGCAGTTCGCTCCACCTTTCTCATGAATTTTAATACCATCGTTGAGTTCTAAGTATTTGCAATTGCTATCATTGACAACAGAGACTGCAAATTGCATTATCAAGATGCAATCAAATCAAGATTTGAGCATGAGAAAGTTGGAAATTTTTTTTTTCTTAAGAAGAAGAGAGTCTATTCAACAGCACCTTTCTACAAAAATACCATATACTAACCTGGATGAAGGTTGCAGGTCCTCCCAAAATGTCAAAGTACTTCTTAATTCGTTCAACAACCTGAATGAGAGAATGAGTAGAATGATTAGCATTTGACTACAAAAAATTCGAGTCAGTTCTACAGTCTAAATCTTCAACCACGGTATGTTAAAATTCCTTAATTAATTATGCAATATTTGTAGGAGTGTAAAGTGTTGGTTACATCCATAAACAAAGAATATTCCGATTAAGCACACCATAAACTAAATTGTCTGAGAAAACAAGTCCACAGAGACAGAAAGGGAGAATGCAACTGAAATTTTTTTTATGCTCCGTCAAAGCAGAAATTAACCTGTTACAGAGAGACACATGAATGCAACTTGCATATAACAAACAGTATTACAGAAATGCTATGCCAATACACACACATATAGGAGGTAAGGAAGTCAACCTTGGGATTTCTAAACATGCCAGAGGGATCACTTGTCACAAACCAACCAAGTCGCCATCCAGGCACGATCCACCTCTTTGAAAGAGAACCAAGGGTAAGAACTGGAACAATGGATCCAAAAACTCCCATTGGCACAAAAGGGTTACGACCAAAAACAAGGTGTCCATACACTTCATCAGCAATAACAAGAATTTTAAGCTTTTCAGCAGTTTCTGCAATCTAAACAAGTAGACAGACATTACTTCAGATGCATATCATGATCTTTTGTGGTATACATTGCAATATGCTTCAATTTGAAGTTAAATACTTGACCAATAACCTTTTTCAAATGCTGGTAAGAGTATACATTGCCGCAAGGATTCCCAGGATTTATAATAACCAAGGCAACAGTGTTCTGGTCTGCAAGGGCTTCAATAGCATCAAGATCAACCTCAAAGTCTTTCTCTGGGAGAAGATCAAAATGCCGAACTTCAAGATGCCTAAAAGCAGCACAAAGCTCATAAATTGGGAAGCCTGGCCTTGGAAGCAAGATATTTGCACCTGGGCGAGCAAGCATTGCCAATGCAACATCAATAGCTTGGGTGCAACCAGATGTAATAAAAACATCATCAGATGATAACTTGTAAGGAAGATCACGAGATAGGTATTCAGCAATCGCCCTACAGAATAGGAAGCATATTAAAATCAAGAAGAAATGTATAAACCAAATGGTGACTCTCAAAGTTGAACAGGGAGCCTTACATGTACCTTCTGACGCTTACTGCAACCAAGTAAGAAACCAAAGGCTAAACCTAAGGCAAATTGTTACTTTTAAATTGCTTTAAGACTCTTAATCTACTGTTAACCAAATTAAAAACTTAGCGTTTAAGTTGTGTCTTTTTATTACTTTAAACTGGAAAAAAAAAGGCATTTAAAACCGAAAGAAACAATGCTACTTCCAAGATTATTTCAACAGAAACTGTACCAAATAGGTAATTACTAGTGAATGAAGCAGGCCCAAAATGTAATACTGGATTGTTTTCAACTGCAACTGCGACAAGAAATTAGGCTAATTAAAGATACCAAGATCATTTCTTTTTCATTGCTTTCATCTGAAAACATGAGAATAAAGAAATTGAAACAAATCAGGGAGGAAGACAGCATGGGACTAACTATGTAAGCAAAAGGAATTACAGCTACGACAAATTACTTCAACAAATGAGAAAGCAGAAGCAGTTTTATTTTATGATCCAAGTAAATTCATAAAACTGAAATCCATACAAGCAATGAAGAGTTGTCTCCAGAATTAAAGTTAATTTAGCAATCACTCCACAAAATCCAGAATTTGCAAATAATAATTTATCAATGCACGAGATGCGACTCCTTCCTAGCGAAAGAAGAGAAAAAGAATGGAATTTAGTCCTATTTTAACCCCACATCTGGGAACCAAAATTGGCCCCGAGAATTAAAATTAAATTGGCTAGCACTCTACAAAATCCAGAAATTAACAAAGTAATGACTCCATATCATGAACTGCATGTAACAAATAAATTCAACTGAAGAGCCAAAAGAGGAAGGAAATCATTAAATTACCTTCTTGTTTGAGGAAGGCCTACAGTAGGTGCATAACCATTGAACTTGTGAGATTGAAGAGCATCAACAACAGCTTCTTGAGCAACATGTGTGGTGTGAAAGCAAGAATGAGCAGTAGGGTCACCCATGCCTAGTGAAATCACACTCCTGTTATGATTATTCTCATCATCAATGCTTTCCATTAACAGACTTAGAATTCCTTTAATGGTGATGTTTTTAGGTGTCTCCATTTCATAACCATTCACTGCACCATTCTCCATGCTTTAATTATTATTTTTTTCAATTTCCTGCTTCGAGCCTTTGGTTCTTGCTTTTGGAAACTGGGTTTTTGGTTCGCTTTAATTTACCTGCGTGAAATGACAGAAAAATGAGTTAAGATAGGCAAGCAGTGGCCCGGTAAAAGTGAGTGCATGCTTAAGACCACACGTTGAAACAGCTTCCACAACTAATCTGTCTTTGCATGAGAACAAATTTGGTGGCTGTTTTGGACAGTGTCTTGTTGCAAAGCCAATAAAACAACAAATGAAACCTCAAGTGGCGGCTCAGATTCTACGGCTCACGATTTCAAAATGACTGAAATGCTCTTTTTTAGCTGGGGGAATTACTCTGAAGTAATTATGACTTAACTCGGGGATTTTGACACAACAATTAAGTTTTATATATATATATATATATATGAATCTGTTTTTGGATTATATTTATTTTAATAATATAATAATGTTAGGAATCCGTGGCAATGCTTTATGAAATCCCGCTGTATATACGTTTTGAGCAAAAGTTTTCCAAACTATTTTTTTTTTGTCTTGATCAAGTCTGCAATCTATCAATACATTGTTAATCAAATCCTTCAATCAATTTCAACTAACAAAATTGTTAAATAGTCATGCAAAAATTATATGATTTCTCTTTTTCAGTAACAAAACCTTCAAATCCCATCAAATTTGTTTGAGAAAGTTGTAATTTTTGCTGTAGTTGCTACTAAAATGATTTTATGTTATGACATACTCAATTCTCGAAATAATTTAATAAACTTGTAGCTTTTAGCTTTTATGCAACTTCGAAGATAGCTTTTGAAATATTATGAAACATTTTTTTAATGATCCTGTAAATGCAATGCAGCCAACCAAAAGAGTTTGCATCCAAGTCGACTTTCAATTGAAATATTTTTTTGTAAGAAGCTTTAATCCCCGAAATCTTTGCAAATAAAAAAAGAAAAATGAGATGCTTGGTTGTTCGGATTCTTCTCGTGTGATTTGATGTTTATGTTATTCAAAAAATCTAAAATAAAAACAGAAAACTTTATTATTGTTTTATTTTGAAAAAAAAAAAAATGGGTAGCGAAATAAAGTGGTTCTTAAAAATTGTAAAAATTTTGTCGGTTTAACATTTTATAAAACGTAAGATCTAAAACCAGCAAATTAAAAAAAAAAGAAAATGGAAAAAGAAAAGTACAAATATTGCGCTATCTTTCGTTTTCTTCACGGTAGAGGAGAAGGCAAAATGAAAACCGCAAGATCATTGAACACGGAACTTCCTCATCTTCTCGTGGCTCAAAATAATTTCATTTGTTTTCTATGTCCTTTTCCTTTGCTTTTTTCAAGGAAAACAAAATTAAACAAGACATGAACGTGGGTTCACTGAATCCACTGCACCCGTCCTGTCTTCGCATGCATTCCCACTGAAGTACATTAATCCGTGAATATTTTTTGTTTAATTTAAATATTGTGAAAGTAAACATGGAAAATATTTAGGACTTCAATAAGCAGTAATTAATAATATTTATTTCATATATTTATGAGAAATTGATGAAAAGAAAAAATCACATCCAAATACTCAAAATTAATAAAAATCTTTTCATGTAAATTTAATTTTTTTAATTTTTTTTTGGTCTATCTCACTCTCATTGAGTAAATATTGTTAATTACAAGTATTATATAATTTTTATATATCTCTATCCTCTTAAATAAAGTCATTGTATAGTAATTGATAATCACCATCAAAGTTTTTATGATTCGAATGATTTAGAAAAATAAAAATAAAATTCATGCAGAGAGAACTTGAAACAATTGTTTTACTATATTTTTCTAAAATACTCCTAATCAATTCTTGCTTCTATTTCTTATTTTTAATAACTAGAAAATCAATATTGTAGAATTAATTAATTAATTAATTACTAATGTGCAAATTGACTAAATAAAGATTCTTTTTTTTAGAACTGATTCCCTAACTATAATTTGGAACAAACTTTTTTGTAAAGAAATGTTATAATTGGGCAGTTCATGCTTTAATATCTTCTGATTTGGTCCTTAAATGTTTTTAATTTTTTCATGAAAAGTAACATATTTCGTCACCAACCTTTCTTTAATTTACCTCATTTCCAGGTATACCCCCGGATGCTTGGATGCTTAATTTAATTAGGATCTCAGATTAATATGCTTTCTAAATAACCAAATCAAGTACTACCGATTTGCTAATGACATTTTGATCCAATGGTATAAAAAAATCACTTGCAGGCTTCACCCCACCCACCCACACCCCCCCCCCCCCCCCCCCCCCCCCAAGGCTAATAAAGATCAAGTATCTATAAGTGAAAAAAAAAAAAAAAAAAAAAAAAAAAGAGAAGAAGAAGAAGAAGAAGAAGCTTATTTGTGGTAGAAGCAACCTCATAATGAAAGAATCTAGGTAGGTAAATTTATGAATAAACTTATTTTAAAATACTAAGTATAATAAGATGAAAAATATATAATACAAAAAAAAAAAAAAACACTTATTCCAGGACATATTCTCTCTCTACTGTGGAGAAAATATGGTATCATAAATTAAACTTTGAAATATCCGGACCTAAAATATTCTTGGATTTTCCTAAAATACTTGTGTAGTAAGTAACAATATTTATTTCATATACTCACAAGAAAAAAAAAATCAAATCCGAATCTATAAAAATGATAAGAATACTTTCACATAAACTTTTTTTTTAATTATCTTTTTTATTTTGTATCTATCTCTCAAATATTGTTATTTAAAAGTAATATAAAATTTCTCTACATCTCTATCCAGTTAAATAAAGCCATTGTATGGTAATTGATAATCACCATCAAAAGTTTTTATGATTCAAATGATTTAAAAAAAATAAGAACAATTATGAAAATAGAAATAAAATTCATATCAATCTTAATAAAATCCATTGTGATACTTGTAATCCCAAGTCTCGTAAAAATTAAATGATTATGTATTATTTTCAGTATTAATGAAATTATATTTTTAATAAGAAAATCAAATTAACTTTTAATAATATATAATAATCAATACACATATAAGTTGATGGATTACCAAATGATTGGTACTTTTAAAATGCTGCAGTATTTTTCAATAAATGTGGACAAAATAATAATAATAATAAAAAAAAAAACTCTATTAATTGTGCTTGGAATCCGGCCCCATCACTAATAAAGATTAGCTGTTGGCCAAATAAGATAACTGAATAAATATTTTCAAATAAATCTAAAATAAAATAGAAAAATGCTTTAAATAGAGAAATTATTTATTATACCCAAAATTATAATTATATTTTTCTTTTATATAAGGATGTGATTCGTGAATAATTTAAGTCTTGTATTTATGTGAAGAGTGGGTATCAGTTCTAATATACTTAATAAATCTAACAAGAAAAAAAAAATTATTGAATACACAATTGGTGATCCAATATTTTGGTATTGCCATTAAATATTGAATTAAATTCTCAGTATTAAAAGTTTTAATCCACAATATCATTTGGTATCGTACACTGTTTTTTTTTTTTTTTTTTTGAAAATATTTTTTTTTCAAAAATAGAAAATAAAGCACACTAGTAAAAAAGTGAACAATTAACAATTGAATAAATAAAAACATGATAAAATTTAATATGTCTAGTAAAAATCTTTAAAAATAATTTTAACAAAACAGAGAATAAAAAAGGAAAATGGAAAAATATCAAACCAGCCATAAAAGATTCATTAGAGATTAACTTTTTGAGAAGTAATTTCTTAAGTTTAAAAAAAGTTGTATCCAAATAGTATGCCCATGACACTTTTTTTCTAATGTTTTATTCACCTATAGTATTATTAAACTGGTTTATACATTGAAATTTATATATATATAATCTTAAAAGCAGACTTAAATCCCTGCATATGGGCCTGGTACATATTAAATAAAAATTAATAATTTTTTCTTAATACTAGTCTTAAAATTTAAACACAATGAATCAAACTTTCTTAGCCACCAAAATTCACTTACTAACACCATTAAAGTTATCTCAATAAAAAAGAAACTGACCCAATTCCAATGAAGGAAAACGCCACTAGGCTATAGGACCACACAGTCAAGAATCAAACTCACCAAGACAGTTTTGACTTTAGAGCCTTGTAAGTGAGAGGGCTTCCTACAATCTAATGATGTCTCTTTGGGCCTCATCTGAAAAACAATACCTAATCCTAAGTCCGCAAAATAACCAAGGAGTAGCTCTTAATTAGACAGAAAAACAGAAACCCCAAATTTGATTCCTAATTCCTCTAAAGTTGAAACAAAATAACCCTTAATTTTTTTTAATCAAAATTAAGATGCTTGCCTTAAAGATTAAGCAAACGATGCGGTAATCTTGATATCTTTAAAAATATGCATGTGATGGTGAAGTAGGTGGCTAGGAGAAGAAGGGGACAAGTAAAGGTAGGTATGCTTTTATAATCCGCGATAAATATGATGTCGGCATCCGCCGTCCCTCCGATTACCAACTTCTAGTCGAAACTCATGTCCCCCATAGACATGAGGCGCTGGCCCAGCCCTCGCTGTGCCAAGGACCTTGTAATACATTTTCTAAGTGATGGATGAAATCCAATGGCTTGAGCTCATTTGTTTGATGAAAAACAATGTTTAATAGAAAAAATAATTTTGAATAAGTTGTTTTTTCTAAAATTATTTTTATAAAATATTTTTCGATATTTGATAATTATATAAAAAATTATTGAAAAATATAATTCAACATTTATTTGATACAAAAAACTAAAATATAAAAAACAGATTGTGATTGTTATATTAACGAGTTTTGAAGAAACTTCAATAAGGTATATTTACAATCTCACAATATAAAAATTATTAAAAATATATATATTTAAAATAATAAGATGCATTTAGAAAAATTTAATAAATTTTTATAAATACTGACTTTAAGATTTAAATTCAAAAAATAAAAAATATATTTTTTAAAAAAATTAAAAATATATTGTTA